TTGGTTTAATTGGGTGATGCCTGTTTCCACATTTGATAGTTTGCCTAATGTAAGACATATGTATTCACCAAATGAGAGCATCTTGTCACTCAGCTCTCGTTTCTCCTTTCTATCCAATTAGCTTGAGATATAAACACCCAAATATCAAAACTCTTATTTTGGCAGTGACATCTCCTGCATCGACGGAGCCTATTTTCAGATGTATTAATTGGTAACGGAGGTGTTGTTCAGTGGTTCATGTATAGCACGTTTCTTAGGATTTTCTTCAGTAAGTCAGAGCTGTTGAACTATTCGTTCCTTCCTCACTAATGCAGAGCTTTTAAAAACCCTCGGTGCCCTTTAGCAAGGGAGCTTTCGCTCACAATACCTACCTCAGGCTCTCGGTCTGTTCGTCTGCACTGGGTTTTTTAAGTGGTCTCGGTGGTTGTGCGATGTGCAGACAGGCCTGATTGCCCCCTGTCTCTCATGTCATGGGTCTGCTGGGAGAGTGAGTGATCCCTGTCCACCAACATTCCGCGCCGCATGCACTTCACGTCATTCCTCACATTAAACAGCCCAAAAGTTTCTACTTTTTCAGGCAATATGTCTAATTGGTATGCTTAATGAATGGGACATTTTTGCTTGTTGAGTGAATCACAAGTAGTCATTGATTTAAATTGGAGCAGACTTTCAGAGCTTTCTGGAGATTGAATTTTAACGCCTGTCACAAAGTAGAAGAATTGTTTCAGACAGTTGCCGGTGGTTATTTAGACCTTCTCTCACGTCTAGAAATATGCTATTTTTTCCGATTTTTTTTCCCCTTCTCCCTTCCATAATATTAGCATTTATGATTCTACGTCGCTAAATTAAACATCCGCTCTTGCAAGTACAATCGAAATCTGTCACCGCTAGTCCAACATAAGGATCCTGACATGTTTTTCTGGATTTTTTTGCCTGCTGTAAATGTATTCTCTTCATGTGCTGACGAGGGATCACAGCTTGTCAAATGCCATGCACTCAGGTTCAAAGTGCTGGTTGCCTCTTTAATTTACAGTCAACTTCTCAACCAGATGGTAACGCGCTAGTTTTGCCCATTACATCTGTCAAATGTGTGGGCTAAATTCCACCACAGCTCCTGACAGATGAAAAGCAGATTAGTTCTCCCAGGAGCCCCTTTAGAAGTAATGAAGTTCACTTAAAAAAAAAACAACAAAAAAAAACAACCCAGACCGAACCATATTTGGCAACCCAGAACCATATCAAGAACTTTATTTGCCACTGTGATGGATAGCTGCTGAGACAAGGTTCAGGGTTTTGCAGTGTGGTGACGGGTTTATGTAAAGCTTCCAGATAAATGTGACTCGTGATAAATTGTGGACGCCAGCTGACAGTTTTTGGCAGTGTCCATTAGGCGATATTTATAAGCCGAAAGTTAAATTGGTCAGGGTTTAAACAGTCTGCCTTCAATTTCCATCGAAGCATCTCACGACAGCCGACTGCTTAATGGAAAACAAAGTGTAGCAGTAGAAATAAAGGAGCTAATGAAAAGAAGAGAAAGAGCGGATGGGGTTAATTCATCAATGCAGCCCAGTAGGCCAGGAATGTTCTCGCCTCTACATCCACCCAGTCTGACTCATGTCGGAACATTTCATCTCCGATAATAATCCTGACAAATTGAATCTCGTTGTCGAGCTCTGCTTATGCATTCCTGCGGTGGGCTTGCAGCGGGACGGCCCATCGGAGAAACAGCACGCAGATGAGAGCGGCGCTGCAGTGCACAAACAAATGGAAAGTGCAAGCTCCATTGAGCACACCTGGCAGAAGGAGAGAGACAGAGAGAGAGGGTGGTGAGGACAGACTGTCTGCATGCTACCTGCATATCAACTGCACAGAGATCTGAGGCCGGAAGGAGGCGGATCTCTCCAGATCCTCTCAGCCAACCACACAGCCGAAGGCCCTGAAGTCAGAACAATATTGCTCATACGGAGTAATGTGACTATGATTATCTTTACTATTCAGTTCTGAATATTAAAGAAGGCTCCGGAGGACGCCTTCCTGGTGTGCTGTTCAATATTTCATTTCCTCATAGGATGATGCAGCAGCTTTTCTGCCTTTTCTCTCTGTTCTCCTTCACCAACATTCCCCTCTGCCCCCCCACGCAAGTTCATATTTGTGTGCTTGATTTAATCGCATCTGAATGAGAATTTTCAGAGCGGTTGTTTGGCATTCACAATAGCTCCAAAAACCCACGGCATATCGAAGGCAAAGCGTCTCGAGTGCAGCGCCGAGTCATCTTGAATTCTTGCCTCTCCATTTCACTCAGTATAGCAGAAGCACTTATTGCTGAACAATGTGGAGCTCTTTCTCAACAGGCCTGATGGAATTGGGTGCATATGGAGCATTCATCAGAATTAATATATGCATCTCCTTTTCTTTTCTTTCTTTTTTTTTTTTTTTTTTTGCAAGAAAGCATGTGCAGCAACAACAGTAATCCTCTTGGGCGTCACTGAGAAATACACTGAGCAACTTTGTACAGAATGTGCTATAGGATGCACGTCGACATGGTATGTTGAGAAACAGAGGTGAGAGTTATTCGATTATCAGACTTACTGATTTGATTGGATGTGAGAGATGTCACAGCTCCAGGCTCCCCGGTTCGAACCCGAGCTCCAGTTGATATCCGTGTGGAGTTTCACATGTTGTTCCCCCTGTTTGTGTGGACTTCCTCTGGGGTTTCCAGTTTCCTGTTTCTTTCCACTGTCCAAAACAATGTGCATGTGCGCAACAGACTGGTGAATTCTTCCACCTTGCGCCGGAATAGACTTCAGATCCACCACAACCCTGACCAGGATAAAGTGGATTAAAAAAACCTCATGTTTAATGACAATAAGAGTGCTACTCATTAAAACAATGTGCTCCTGAGCTCCTTCACTGCTGATGCTGATTTCATATTGGAGGGCCTGTTTGCTCTTAATGTTTCGACTGGGAGCTACCACAAGGCTTTATGTTGGTGCTGTGGATGCGAAATACCAAGTAGGGTTATATTTCAATAAGCATTCAGGCGTTTCTTCAGTCTTTTGAACTACTGACTTTTATGTGTGGATGCACAGGTAAGCCATTAAATAGCAAAGACTAGTTGCTTGAATCAGCATGAAGAACGACGAGCTGTAACGAGAGCACGCTGCAGTAACGTTCGAGAAAGGAACTATGGGTAAGCCATAGGCGCACACGCTTAACTTGCACATCATCTGCTTTTTACATTCAGGAGCTTTCAGTGCCAGAAGGGGGAGCAGCTCTCTGTCTAATGTCTTCAGGCGTGATTGCATTCTGATGGAGAGAAAGTAAGAGGAGGAAGTGAGAGGGGAAAAAAAAAAGAAAGAGCGGTATGTAGGAGGATAGGGAAAGGGGGAAAAAAAAAGTCAGGATGAATGAATGACTCAGTGGATGCACAGCAGGCCATTAATCTCGCGAAGATTATTTATGATAAACATATTTTGTTCCTGCATCTTCTGTGGAGTTCAGCATGTCCAACAGCATGTGTTTGTCCTAATTACAGAGATTATGGTTCTCACGACTGCGCTTCACTTAAACAGACGTCAAGGCAAACATTTTTATATAGTGAGTTTTCCATTAAGAAAAATTTAGGATGTGGCCAATTTTTTGGGGATTTGTTGCTTAAAACTGTGCCAACACTTGAGTTTAAATAATTACGTTAACCTCTGTCTTTCATTCAGTATTTCTAATTTCATTTCTAATTCTTTATTTCTCATGTCGCCATCCATCCATCCACTGTCTGTGCCTCTTATCCTACACAGGGTCACGGGGTGTCTGTCCCAGGGAACTTTCAGGGACACCTTGGACATCACAGGGCACAATCACATACACCCACTCACACACCCATTTACACACTACAGACAATTTGGGAACGCCAATCAGCCTACAACGCATGTCTTTGGACTGAGGGAGTCCCTGGAGGAAACCACATAAGCACAGGGAGAATCGCAAACTCCATGCACACAAGGGAGAGGGGGGATTCGAACCCCTAACCTCAGAGGTGGTGGCATCATGACCTCTTGATTTTTCTCACGCTCCGTTGCTGTCTCAGTTGATAATGTGCTTGATGATTGATGATGTGAAAGGACACTGGCATTGCTGCGCTAAGCCAACTTCAGCGAAAATGCACCAGCTGGCAGTCTAGAGATGCAGGAAAGCCCATTTCTGTTTCTAAAAATGAATGATCATGAAAATAATCATTAAAAACCATTCGTATGTACATGTACTTGTATGACCAATACTGGATCATTACAAAATGAGATTAAGAGGAGACCAAGATTATAGTGTTCTTGAGATGAAGACCAGGTTCGAGAACTACAACCCTAAAAGTCTAGAAACTTTAGAAAATGTGCAATTTATACAATCCTAACCAATGTTGTATATATATATATATATGTGTGTGTGTGTGTGTGTGTGTGTGTGTGTGTGTGTGTGTGTGTATGTTTTGGATCATCGTTCATTGCTCCAGGGTCCCTGTTTGCTTGGGTTATTGTATGTATGGAGTTCTCGCTGTGTCTATGTGGGGTTTCTCTGTGTTCTACTCAAGGGTTTCCTCCCACCTCCAAAATCATGCCAGTAATCATCACCATGTTAATTTCAGAAAATAAATAAATGAATCATCTTTCACTCATCAAACCCTGCCATAGTACTAGTTTTATACAGAATAAAACACACCACACTTTCACTATTTATCCCGACCACTGATTACGATTCTTGTAACTTTTTATTTCATCGAATTCTTCAGCTCAAGATATTGGTTATCGCTCTTTCACATATTGTATATCATCAGGATTCGGTTTTTACATGAGACTATTGCCATTCCCAGATAAAATAGAGCACTGAATTGTAAATATCGAATAGGTTTCATATTTAAAAGTTTACATTTTCACTTGTGAAGCCAATTAATAGTGTGTAACTCATGGATTTTAACGTAGGAAGAAATTATTTACATTACCTATTAGACTAGGGCAGTGGTAGCTTAGTGGGTAAGATGTTGGACTACCGCTCGGAAGGTTGTGAGTTCAAACCACATGCCAAGCTGCTACCACTGGGCCCTTGAGCAAGGCCCTTAACCCTCAATTGCTCCGTTGTATAAATGAGATAAATGTAAGTCGTGCTGGATAAGGGTGTCTGCCCAATGCCGTAAATGTAGATAAACGTAGACTAGGCTAATATTGGAACACCGTATTTGAGAGAAGTGAATAGGCCTAAAACTCCTGGACCAAAGTTTAGAAGTGGGGGGAAAATGACCGATGTCTCTGTTTCCTTTTTCTCAGCGTAGTTTGTACATGTTGTCCTCTGATTCCTGATGCCACAACAGAAACAAACATGGTTATACAATAATACAGAATGGTAAATGGCACAAAAGATGTGAAAGCTTCCCTACAAGGATGCTTTTCGCTTTTGAAATTCTCCACACTGTACCCTGCTGTTCCAGCACTAAAAGGTCTCCTTTTAAAATCAAAGCTTTGTGACTTGCTTGTGAAGATACCAAAGAAAAACCTTGAGAGTCATCTTCTGTGTGCTCACAAAGGTGCTTAGCCGTGGATGCTTCTATTGACCTTTTTTTTTTTTTTTTTTTTTTAAGATTGAGCCTCTGGATTTAGCATGGGAGGAAACCTCTTCGAGCCACATGTTTTATGATGATGTATTGAATACACCACAAGGTTCTCTTCCCTGGTCCTGGAGTACCCCGTGTCCCCTACATTACTCACCGTTGTAGTGTTTAACATCCACTTTTGACAGAAAGAACTGTTAATTAGCCGATTAGTTCAATCAGATGAAAAATACTCCAGGACCAGGGTTGGAAAACTCTGGACTACACACACTCTCTCTCTCTCTCTCTCTCTCTCTCTCTCTCTTTCTCTTTCTTCACTGTGTGTTTGTATTACTGAACTGTAGCTTTGCTCAGATCTGAGAACATTAACATTACAAATTGGACAGACCCTTTGAATCCTAATCATCCGCACCTCTCTTTTATCTCTCCTCAGGTGACGTGGCCCCATACTTCAAAACTGAACCAGGGCCTCCGGAAATCCATCTGGAGGGGAACCGGCTGGTCATGACCTGTCTGGTGGAGGGCAGCTGGCCTCTGGAGTTCAAATGGATCCTTAACAACACAGATATTACTGCATTCTCCCCAGAGTACAAGTGAGAGTCTGCCTTTATTTCACTGCCTTTATCGTCACTGAATATAAGGTTACACTGGAGGGGAAAATCAACAATGATCAACAATGACAATACTGTGGCTGGTTGGTTTCTCATATACTACATGGCCAAACGTTTATGGACACCTGACCATCACATGCATATATGCATGTTGAATATCCCTCTGCCAGATTTAGCCCCCTTTTGCTTTTAAAATAACCTACACTCTTCTGGGAAAGATTTCCACTAGATTTTGGAGGGGATTGTGTTCATTCAGCTACAAGAGCATTATTGAGATCAGGTACTGATGTTAGGTGAGGAGGTCTGGGGTACAGTCGGTGTTCCAGTTCAAACCCAAAGGTGTTCAGTGGGCTCGAGGTCAGGGATCTGTGCAGGACACTCGAGTTCTTCCAGTCCAACCTTCTCAAACCATGTCTTCATGGAGCTCGCTTTGTGCATCATGCTGGAGCAGGTTTGGGCCTCTTAGTTCCAGTGAAGAGAAATTGCAATGCTACAGCGCACAACGACATTCTAGACAATTGCGTGCTTCCAACTTTGTGGTAAAAGTTTGAGGAAGAATCTCATATGGGTGTGATGGTCAGGTGTCCACATACTTTTGACCATGTGTATCTCTTTAAACTTTAAACATTTGTTTTGTTTGCAGTTTAACAAATATCTGACTTTACATAAAAGATTCATAAGCTTATTCATGCACCTTTTCTAAAGCTATACTTTGTGGCCTGTGTCAGAATGCGTCAGCTATTTAACATCCGCTGATTGAGTGGAAAAAAGAATGCGGAGGGAATTTAAATGGAAATTTAATTAACTTTTTTATGCAGCTGATTACTTGAGCTTATACAATAATATATTTAATCATTCATATTTTCACACTTTCAAATCCAATACTTTTTTTTTTTTTCTCAATCAAAGTTTCTCCAGAATAATGTCATCTCTAACTTTCTATCTATAGTCAGAAGATGAACCACAGTAAAACTTGGCACTTCCTTAGATAAGAAAGGAACGATGGACTCCTTTTGTCTAAAAAAAAAAAAAAAGTGTGCTGCTGGAGCCGACTGGCTCTTTACAGCTGAATGACGCATTCAAATGCTCTACCTGGGAGTGCCATGCGGGAACTTGATTCATGTCAATGTTCATTTGCATTGCTTGATTTGTTTTTTATATGCCAGTGACAAACATTCATATGGAAAAGAGGTAATTTGGCTGTCTATAGATTTCTCTTGGTCTAATCGGCATTGCTTTTCCAATTATCTTCCTTAAACACCACTGGAATGGCACTTTCTAAGCAGCGCTGGGGTTCTTGTTCACTCTCCCTGGAGGACTAGATTCCCTTAGAGGAGCGCAAACACACAGAGGTATATTGGAAGGCATGAAGGAATCTGGGAAAAGAGCGACATGCATTTGGAAATAAGCACACGCTTCTATTCATTGTTTCCACTTTCGCTGGTATCACGGGAAGTGGCCATTTGGCAGAAGCTGATATTCGTCAACACAGCCGAGAGCCAGGTGGAATTCGTGGAGAGTCTAATGGCATTTTAATGATTTGCTCATTCTAATGCAGAGGCTGGCAAAAAGGCCTGGCCCCAGCCCCAAAAGTAAACCTTTTAACCTTGGTCTTTGTGAGAATGTATTCAAAGTCAAAATCTCATTTAAGTGTGTTAACATGCTGACAAATATCAAATTAGCATGGTGGTGGGAAGAAATGGCATGAGGTGATGGATATAACACCAGCTAACATTTTCAGCATCATTTTAGAAACCCTTGGACGCCGTTATGTACAAGTTTTTAAGCTGTTTAAAAACTTTGACAAACATTTCTGGAACATTCTAAGTTTTCACTGACCACAGTTCACAAGAATATCATCTGCTTTAATTTAACAGAGTGCTTAAGTTTATTGAAAATTCTTCACAAGATCAAATCATATCCCAGCAAAGGAAAATATCTCAAATATAGTCCAATTTATTTAGTATTTCCTATTTGAAGTTTACATCAAACCAAATATAAGATTATTAAACCTAGTATTTTTAATTTTTTTTTACTAATGCCATTTTTAAAATTATCTTATTGTATTGGCAGATAATTTAGCTTCTTTCTAAAGTTATTTACCAGTTGAACAAGACTATCCCGGGCTTGAAATGAATAAAAAATGTCTCGAAATTGATTTAATAATCTTATATTTGCTTTATTGTAATCTTATCATTTGAAATACTAGATACATTTGACTATATTCAAGATATTTTCACTTGATAAGTCATTTTCTGCAGCGCAATGGATATCAGAAAGCAAATTAATCAAGAAACAGACATAGAATAGGTGAACACAATCAGTAACAGACCTTTTCCCAGGACACGGGAATAAAAGCTGAGAATTAACAAAACCTGGGAACCATGTCATATGCTGATAGTGCCACCATTTTTACAGTTAATGTTACTTCTGGAATAATACAGTCTAACCTTATTCGAACTTTGGAAATATTTTTTAACATTGTAATAACCTTCTCTGCTCGCTGAGACGATCTTTTTACTATCTGTCTTTTGCAGGTACATTATACCATCCTTACAGCGCTCGGACATGGGTGTATACCAGTGTGTGGTGAGAAACCGAATGGGCGCTTTGCTCCAGAGAAGAGCTGAGATACAAGTGGCATGTAAGTCTTAATGACCAATCAGTGGAGTGGCTCTTACTCCCTCTTCACTGCATATATTTTTCTGTTTCCCAAACTCACATACTTGACTCTGCCCCTGAAAGACTTCACAATTAACCACCGAGTGCTAAACAAAAACAACAGTGTCCGTTTGCGTGCCCTCAAGACAGTTATTAAAACCACTGACAGACTGTAAAGAGCTGACATCAATCCAGTTGCTTCTACCAGTTTCCTCAGACTGTTAGGATTTTTTTCTTAATCACTTCTTTATCCTTTTTTTCTTTTCTTTTATCCTTTCTGTACCATTATCTCAGCATGGCTCAGCAAGTCTCCCGGTAGTCAATGAACAGTTTTAAACCAAAAATGCATTGCCTTTTCCTGTAATTCAAGGTACAATGCTCTGAGGCTTGCAGACCCCCCGCCCCCAACCATTCTTTGCTCTAGTCTAATTTAGTCTTGCAACCTTCCATGAATATGTGCTTTTGTTTGATTGAGTTCCTCTGTACTTGGTGCTTAGAAAGAAAAGTCTGCTTACGCCTGAGACAGATATCTGTTCACACCTGGTCTTATCATGTGCCAGGATTGAAAACATCTTCCATCTTCCACCATTTGATCATATTTCATGACCAGTTTTCAATTCAAGACCCCTAGATATCAAAACTCAAACGAATAAGGGTTGATATTGTATATCTTAAATGTATATATTAAACAATTTACTTATTATACTACCAGTACCATACTACATGGCATTTTGTGCCAGCATTTTTATTTATTTTTACCGACATTTCATGTGCTTTATTTATCAATAATACGAATGAAAAGGAGCTCAAAGCGATGGAACTTACAGTTTTTAACCAAACTAACTGCGTAACTAATATCAGTGTTTCGCTATTTTCCTCACACATCACCTATGGCTCTAATGAACATGACCGGAGCTATCATTTGCTTTAACCCTTCCTTGCAGTACCACTGCAGGGAGTGCTTAAGTTTATTGAAACCCATTCACTGCAAAAAAAAATTAAAAATAAAAATAACAATAATCATGTGAAAATAGCTTGAATATTGTCAAATGTATCTAGTACTTCCTGTTATAATAAACCCAAATGGAAGATTATTAAGCCTATTTCTAGAGATTTGTTCATCATTTCAAGCTTTCAACATTCTTATTCTATTTATTTAAATGTTGCTCGATCATTTTGCTTCTTTCCAGAAATAAATGCTAAAAATTAGC